CAGGAATGCAGCCAGCTCCAGTTCCCTAAAGAGACAGGCTGAGGGTGTGGTCCCCTGTGTGCTGGGCCCATCCTAATTGAATGGTCACAGCACAGAGATTTAAATCACAGTGTCACAGGGCAGAGATTTTTGGGGAGAAACCAAGGTGGCTTTCTGCCACTCACAGTACCTGAACTGGGCTTACTGGACAGCTGGCTGGCACTGTCCCTTGCTGCATCATAGCTCAGCTCTTGGCAGCCTCTGCTTGGGAGACCCTGCTCTGGGTCCAGGCTGCTCCGAGTCCTAAGGCAGCATGGTCCTGGACTCACCTGCCCGGTCAGCTGTGCTCTGGCGGGGGCATGGCCCAGCAATTGGGGGTGGGAAGGAAGCCTCCTGCCTCTTCCAGATCAAACGCTGATGTTGAGCTGGAGTGAGAAAAGCTGGAACTGATGCTCTCTGTGGGTCACTGGACTGTTTTTGTCCCCTCAGTGTGAAAGTGCTGACCAGTCCCATCTTGATCTTGCATGCAGAGGATGATCCAATCGTTCCCTCCCACCTGGGTCGAAAGGTAACTCTCTGTCTTTGCCCCTCGAGCCCCTCTACACTGTCGCTTTGCAGGGGAAACAGTGACAAGTGCACTCAGGCTTTATCAATTGTAGACTAAAACTGCAGGGGGGAGTGGGTCCTCTGCCCAGCTAGCTGCTGTACTGAATATGCATATTGAAATTTTCCATAGCAGCTTATTAGAAAGGCTGCATTTGAACTTTCCTAGTGCTACACATTAGTACCTCCCTTCAGAGCCTGAATGTGTTGCCTACCTGTAGCATCCTGGGAACTGGCTCCCCAGCTGCTGCGCTATAACACAATCTGCTAGCAACGTCCCTGCACCCTTTCCTAGTACATGGAACCACTGTCTGTCTCCTCCCTACTTGGCTCATGACTGTCCCATTGCCCTGGTGGCTCCAGCCTGGGAAGAGCTGTGCCCATGCCGGCGAGCCGGCCTGGAGTTCCTTAGATGGGCAGACACGCTCAATGCAGTACTTGGCACACAAGTTCTGGTTGGCACCAGTGGTATCTCTGGCTGGGCTGGACAGGCCAAGTGTTAAGAACTTGGTTAAAGTATTTGGGACTCATGGTAGAGGTGATATCTTGTATTAGATCAACTAGATTTTTGCAAGTCTAGCTGGTCTAATAAAAGATATCACCTCTAGCACGAGTCCTGAATGCTTTTTCCTCTTGATCAACATGGCCACAACCTGGACACCAAGAACTTGGTTACGCAGGCTTGATTCCAAACTGGCCCGGAGGTCGGCGTCTACCTGGGTGCCTGGCTTGCCCCCACTCAATGCTGATAAACCGTCTTTCAGTGGCGGGGCCCTAAGGACAATGCTCATGAAAGCTCCTAAGCCCCGTTGCATCGCTGATGTGACTCGTGATATCTGTGCCGCAGAATATGGCTCCTGTTCTTAATGGATTGTGGTGCATGGCTGGGCACAGCTCTTTGGAAACTCGCTGAAAATCAAATGTAGGGACTGCTGAGCCTAACATAGTGACTGCGTTCAGAGAGCACGGGTGCTGAGTTTCCACTGTCCCTGGCTGTCAGCAGCAGCTCACTTGCAGGATTTCCTGTGATAATTGTTCCTCTGGGTGTTGCAATCACCCAACTGGAGACCAAATACAGGCAGGCCCAGCAGTAGCACCTTGGGTCGGCTTCACTCCCAGCTTTTTAGCAGGCGGGGAGAGATTCCAGCTGGCAAGACCCTTTCCTCTTGCTGGAAGCAGCTGACTGTGCTGGGTCTCCGGTGTTTTGCATGCAGCACTGTTGCTGGAAGATGCTGCGCAGGTGACATGGGCTCTCTACTTCAGTTCCCTGCCTGTAAAACAGGCATCCTAGCTTGTCCTGAGGTCCTGGGGGAATCTGTAGCGACCTTTGGCCATCAGTGCAAGGGCGTGGGGATGAATGAAGCACTTCAAATGCAAAAGCCTCCTCATTTACTGTAGCACTCAGTGAACTGCAGGAGGCCCCTCTCTCTCCACAGCTCTTTGAGATCGCCATCAGTGCCTACCAGGACAAGAACAAGGTCAGGTTTGTGGCCTTTCCTGACAAGCTGGGCTTGGCGCATGACTACATTTCTTTCCATCCAGACCTTCCCACTGTTGTGAAGTAAGTAAGGCCAGGTGCCGATGCTCCAGGTAGGCTAGGGCTTGGGCCATGGCACTACAGGTGGGGACACCTGCTGTCTGGCTGGTAGACGTGAGCTCCAAAGTGCAAGCCTCCCGTCAGTGGAGTAGCTTCAAGAATCTTCCCTAAAGTCTCAGCTGACGTTATTGTTCGAGGGCTTTGTCTCCTTCTGCGGAAAGCCCTGACGACGCTGCCCAGTGGGCTCTTCTGTCTTCCCTTGTTTGGCTGCTGAAAGTAGGAAGTAGACCGGGGCCAGCAATTATTTTGGGCAGAGGGCCACTTACTGAGTTCTGGCGAACCATCAAGGGCTGCATGATAGGCAGCCAGGGGCAGATAAATATTAATTTTCTAAATTTTTTGAAGGTCCCACGGGCCGGATAGAATGGCCTGGTGGGCCGCATTTTACCCACCCCTGAAGTAGACCAATGGCCTGAAATTGCAGCAAAGTAGGTTTAAGTTGGATACCAGGGAAAACTTCTTCGCTGCTAAAACAGTGAGACAGTGGGGGTGGACAGCCACTGGTCAGGGATGGTCTAGGCATAGTGATGCTTATTCTACTAATGGGGGGCTCCTGGTCTTGGGTTCCTCTTACCCTGCCTCTTATGCATTGAGGGGGAGGTGGGAAAGGGGGTTTAAGCCTCCCTCGGAGGCACTGGGTGCTGGCTGGAGCCAGGGCTGGGGATTATGACTAGGCTGTGCCAGTGCTCCTGCTGGGACTTAAAGCCAGAGATTCCTGGCTAGAGGGTCTTGCCCCTCCACTCAAGGTCAGACCAATGCTCCATTTGGGGTCAGGAAGGAATTTTCCATCATGGTCAGATTGGTATTTTGGGGGGGGGGGGGCAGGGCAGGGCTAAGCCTCTACTTGAGATCTCTTGAGCGTATATTAACAACCTTTTATAGAAGCAGATTGGCTGCTGTGGTTCCCTGTTTTAAGTGTGATGGGTTTGGGTGTTAGGTTTGTATTGCGTCAGGGTTAAGGGTTGTCTTATATAGAGTTTAGGTAATGGATGGTACGGGATGGTTTGGATAGGGATGACCCTGCCTCAGGCAGGGGGTTGGACTGGAGGACCTCTGAAGGTCCCTCCCAGCCTGACTTCTCTGAACACACTCCTGTGTGACGCCAGCCAGAGCTCCTGTATGTCCTGAGTCGCTAATCTGAGTCTAGGCTGCCCCTCTCACTGTGGGAACTAATATGTATAGAGCTACTGCAGCTTATACAGAGCTGATATAGTCTACAGCTCGTTAGAAATAGAGAAGACAACCTCGGTCAAGTTACTTTACCTTCCCAGAGCACAAGGCAGGTACAGCACAAATCCACAGCCTAGCCCAGTAACTCTGCCTGGCTTATTCTGTCATTGTTCTGTTGCAGAGACTTCCTGAAGAACATTACATAGCAGCACCTGGCATTACATACATGTGCAGCAGGAACGTGTTCAAGCAAGTTTACACTGAGGATTTATATTTAATAAACCACTGAAATGTTAAGCTGAATTCGCGTAGTTCACCTTCCCACACCCACCCCTGGATACCTGCACAGCAGTTGCAGCAGCACAGCTGAGTCCCTAAAGAAGTGCTCTTTTGACATTTTGCACACTCTACAATTTATTGCTTTATAGCAGTGCATCTCAAGCTTGTTTTATTGCTTCCATGACAGAGGCAATTAGTGAAGGGCAGGGAAGAAGAAGGGTCTCACAAGGACAGTTACATGGTTTTTGCAGGACAGGCCACCCAAGCAGACTTTTTTAGAGCCTCCTATCTATTGTCATGTTAGGCTTCATGTAGCACCTTGTTGTGCTCGGATAGAGGCTAGAGTTCCTCACCGTGCCAAATGTTACAGCTGCCTGCTTATTTGCTTCCAGTCTTAAGGCTGGCCAGGAGACTAAGTAAGGAGTGATGGTGAATGGGACACACACTACTCCAGCAGCAGCCCTAAGCTGCTCCCTGGCTCTGACAAGGAAGTGATGTTTCCCAGCCAGCTGAAGGAGAGGTACAGGACCATATGCTACTGCATGAAGTACCCTTGGTTGTTAACACCAGGTTTTGGCGACAGCCCGGTTAAATAGCAGAGCTACCCCGAGTCCCTTAAATATTTTGATTGGCACTTTTATTCCAGCACCTACTGCAAGCGGCAGCTTTTGGGTCTCTGCATAACGCTCTACACCAATTCTCCTCCTGGGAAAAGCCAACAGTAAGCCATTTGCTAAATAGCTACAGGAACTTCTTACAGTGTTTACAATGCATTCCTGCTAGAGGCAGCCAGCAGCGCAGCTCTTGCCTACAGCTTCCGCTTTTCAGCTGTGGAGCGGGCTGTCGTGTCATTGGAGGTCTTTTCTTCACCCACATCCCTCGGTACATTGGGCGGAGGGATCTTCAGATCAGAAGGCACCACGTTCCAGATGTCCCTGGCGTATTCCTTAATGGTCCTGTCACTGGAGAACTTCCCTGAGGATGCGATGTTCCTGATGACCATTTTGGTCCACTCCTTGGAGTTCTGGAGGGGGAACACACGTGCAGAGATTACGGCTGGCAAAGTCCGACTGAGGGCTACACCCCAAACTAATGAACCCCTTTGGGGGGAAAAACAGGGAGGCTAAGAGTTGTGAGGAAGGCCCTGCTGTGAATTTAAGGCAGCAGATTCTTGTGCAGCCTGAAAGTTCATTTTCATATTTGAGGTTGTTTTGCAGAGGGGTCACAAGTTGGGACCCACTCTGAGCAACAGGCAGGGAAGGACTGCTCCTGTGAGCAGTTTGCAAGGCAGACATGTCAGCGGCAACAGCCCCAGCTCTTTCCTTGACTTAGACTCCATTTTCCCCCCTCCAGCTGGTGCTATCTCTCCGAGAAGAGTTGTGCAGCCGAGACACTGAATCCTCTAATCCAACTGCAGCCAACACAAATCCATGCCGTGAACAATCTCTCTTCCAACCATGGCTAGGAGAGGTTGTTCACACACATTTAACAGCCCTCAGCTCCCTGAAGAGAGGCACCAAAGAGGATGGAGCTGGAGTGTTGTCAGTGGGGACAGATGACAGAACAAGGAGCAATGGGCTCAAGTTGCAGCAAGGGAGGTTGAGGTTAGATACAAGGAAAAACTGTCACCAGGAGGGTGGTGAAGCACTGGAAAAGGTGACCCAGAGGTTGTGGCATCTCCATCCTTGGAGGTTTTTAAGACCCAGCTAGATACAGCCTGGGCTGGGATGATCTAGTTGGGGCTGGTCCTGCTTGAAGCAGGCCTAGGGTTGGAGCTGGACCAGTAGCCAACTGCAGTTCTGTGCCAGCCCCTGAAAACGCCTTAGTACATCTGCATTTTCACCTTGAGCCTCACTAGAAGCCACGCAGACACCAGCCTCTCCCCACGCCTTGTGTGACTGGTAGTTCAGGGAAGTGCCAAGCAGAGTCAGACCAGTGGTCCATCTAACTCAGTATCCCGAGTCCAGCAGTGGCGGGAATGGCTGCTCTAGAGCAAAAGCCCTGAACAGGGTGTACCTAGAGCGATTCCCTCCCCCGTCATACCCCCCGTAGCATTTGTCATGTTGATTTAAAGGTGCCCAGAGTTTCTAAGCACATCAGCTGCAGCTGTACCCCAGCTGCCCCCCAGGTGCTCTCTTTTTCATCCCTTACCATATACAGCTCGCTGACTTTGTCCTGGCATTTGACATACGCCTCGTAGTCTGCAAAGACTTTAAACCTGTTACAGAGAAGGTTAAAAAAAAAAGTCAGTTCTCTTGCTCTTCCGGGCAATTTAAATCCTGCAGCAACATGTGCAGAGAACAGCTGTGCAATGCTGGCTTGTACTAACCCCTTCACAGCTGTCAGAAGTATTTCCACCATGCAGTCTCTGACACAAAGGTTTTCCCCAAACACCTGTTAGAGAACTCCCCTTTGCGAAGAATGAGCAGAACCATCCTATCCCATTTCTGCTGGTCAAGGGAAGGAGATGGACCCTCCAAAACATGCACCGAAGGTGACTGCAGTGTCCTGGGAACACCATTTAGTATCCATGTACTCCTGTAGCCACCACAACTTCAACCCACCACTCAGACAAGACCAGCCTGTGCCTCAGCTGGCTTCACAGCATCATTTTATAGCACCCAAACTGCCCAGCCCTGCCTGGGGTGGTTTCCATTCACAGGAATTTGCAGACTCCCCAGACCAACCCCGCTTACATCCCATGTAGTTTGCAGGAGAGTTTTGCAATGATGTTACATAGGGGGAACTTGTAACCGTGCCAGTTCAGGGCACTGGGGGCAGGCCAGGCACAAGGCAGGACTGGGGGCCTTGGGCTTCTGGCTCAAGCCAAGTCCCTCTTCCAAGACTGCACTGTTGGGAAGATCTAAGCTAATGGGCGTCTCCCCTGCAATTAATTCCCAGGTGTGCCTGCCTTCACACACAGCAGTTTCTGCAGCCGGCCTGGTTGGTTCACCCCACCACTCTGGCTGGCTCTGCAGAGATGCAATTCTTAGAAATATTGGGGAAAAAAAGGGAGATCCAGTTTTCGCTCTGGATTTCCCAGGCTGTTGACAACTAGGAACCCAAGCCAGAAGCAGTGCACTCCAGGAAGAGGTCTTGGCTACATCCAAAATAACTAAAAGACAGAGAAAAAAGCAGAGCATTTAGTGCTAGCTTGTCTGTAAAGATTACAAGGAGAGAACAGACAGACCCAGGCCAACTCTCACGCTGAAAGGGAAATGGATGCGAATCCTGGGTGGATCCCGATGGCTGCTAGAGCAGGCTGCCAATGCAGAGGCCATGCAGGCATTTTTACCTCTACACATAATTAGGAAATTCTGGCCTCTTGTTTATCAGCTTCACCGTAGCCACAAGGCCACCATCCTACAAGTCCAAACATTTCAGAAGACAGCAGCCCCGTCTCATTTCTAGAAGCAGGGAAGCGAGCAGGCAAGTGACATCCTGACTCCTTTTCACTCAGAGGCAGGGCAGGCTCTGCTCCGAGCTGCCTGGAGACTTCCCAGTGGCCCTTACACATTTACAGCTACCCCCTGACAAAGGCAAGCACCCACATGTATCTAAAGTTGGGCACTCCCAGCACAAACAAACATCAGTACAAGCTGCTTCAATCCAAGATATGCAAATGCCAATTAAAAAAAATATCAATTTAACCTGTTGCAATTACAATGGTTAAACAACTAATTAGTATGGCAACCCCTGATCTGGCCCGCCCGGCAGGGTGCCCCTCCCTGACCCGGCAGTGGGGCACTTGCAGCCCTGCATCGCAGCGGGCTGCATCTCACAGTGAGCTGAGTGGGCCCTCTCTGGGCCCAGATGAGATGCCCTTGGGGCTAAGCTGCAGGCTTGGGGGAGATGCCCCATGCCTGCTTTAGCTCCACCTTGCCCCTGCCAGGCTCTCCAGCTGCTGCGGGTCTGGCTCATGGCAGGTGGTGCTGAAAGCAGTTGCACTGGGGTCTGCGGGGCCTGGCTATAGGTAGTAGCTCCCTTGCCTCCTCCCTGCTTTGCTGCCTCCTGCTTCCTGCTGGGGCACTGCACAGCTTCCCTTCCCCATCTTCCCTGCCAGACCATCCCTGACCCCGCGCTAAACGATAACTGGTAAGCTGTAACCAGTTATCACTGGGCTTATTGATTAAATGCCTCCACTCCAGTCAGGAAAGTTCGTGCATATCTTTGAGAGTGACAGCTAAAGGGGCCATGGTGGAAGGGAGCCCAGAGAGGATGGAGTCCACGCTGATGTCTCCTCACCGGTCATGGTGGAACAGCATATTGACAACATCCTTGAACAGGTCTGGCTGCTTCGGGGAGAAAAAGCCCCCCTTGATCTGGTCGATGACCTGCTTCAATTCAGGAAGCCTGTCGTAATAATCCTGAGCATTGTACCTGCAATGCAGAGAGGAGCCTGGTCACTGAGAGAAGCCCAACATGCACTGATGAAACCTAAAGCTAAGGGCACCCCATTGCTGGGGTGAACACAGATGTGAGCTCTTTCCACCCACAGCACACCCGGAAGTCGTCCCCTGCCCAAAGGCTGTCCTAGGAGCCAGAGTTAGCTCAGGCCCCGGCTGCAGTACAGCACCACTATCGGAGGAAGCCATGCTAAGGCTGCGGTGCACCTGGAAGAGGCGGAGATGCCCGCCTAACTGGCCAGCAGTACAACTCAAGGCTTCTCCTGTGTAGAGAGCAATTCTCATCTAGGGCCAGCCCAGGGGGCCCTGGCTCCCTCTTTCTCCCTCTCATGCAGTGCTGGCTGGTTGCCTCACCCCTTCTTGTCCAACTCTGCCACATCCTCCACCCTCATGCCGAAGATGAACAGGTTTTCTTCCCCAGCCTCCTCCGCCATCTCCACGTTCGCCCCATCCATGGTGCCAATGGTGAGTGCACCGTTGAGCATGAACTTCATGTTCCCTGTGCCTGACGCTTCTGTCCCCGCAGTGGAAATCTGCTCGGACAAGTCGGTGGCTGGAATCACTGATGAAGAAACAAACCAAAAAGGTTATGGGGCTGCCAGCTCAGTTCTGAACTCCACCGCAAGTTGGCACCCGGCGGAGGACCCATCCTACCTGGCTGAGCCGGAGAACATCATTTTGTAGCACCCAAACTGCAAGCTGCCCAGCCCTGCCTGGGGTGGTTTTCATTCACAGGGATTTGCAGACTCCCCTAACCAACCCTGCTTATGTCCCATGTAGTTTGCAGGAGAGTTGATGCAATGATGTTGCATAGGGGAAACTTGTAACCCTGCCAATTCAGGGCACTGGAAGCAGGCCAGACACAAGGCAGGACTGGGGGCTTTGGGCTTCTTGCTCAAGCCAAGTCCCTCTTCCAAGATTACACTGTTGGGAAGATCTAAGATAATGGTCCTCTTCCCTACAATTCCCAGGTGTGCCTGACTTCAGACAAAGTAGTTTCTGCAGGCAGCCTGGCTGGTCACCCCACCACTCTGGCTGGCTCTGCAGAGATGCAATTCTTAGAAATAATGGGGGGGGGAAAAAAGGGAGATCCAGTTTTCTCTCTGGATTTCCCAGACTGTTGACAACTAGGAACCCCAGATAAAAGCAGCGCGCTCCAGGAAGAGGAACAGACAGACCCAGGCCAGCTCTCATGCTAAAAGAGAAACGGATGCGAATCCCATGGGGATCTCGCTGGCTCCTCGCAGGCTGTCAGTGCAGAGAGCATGCAGGGTCTGACCTCTGCACACAATTAGGAAATTCTGGCCTCTTGTTTATCAGCTTTACCTTAGCAACAATGCCACCATCCTACAAGCCACAAGGCACAGGCAGCCCAGGGAAGCAGCACAGGGACGAACCCTCTCTCTCGCTCCTGCCCAGTACCTTTCTCTGCCAGCGATACCCGGTAGTTCTCCAGGAAGATGACCTTCAGCTTGTTCCCCACCACGGGGTCATTGTTCACTACATGGGCCACAGATGTGATGAGCTTGATGATCGTTTTAGCCATGTGATACCCTGGAGCCGCCTAGAATGCAAGGCACAGACCAAAATCTAGTGAGAAGGGCCAGAGCAGGTGGCCACGTCCTCTGCCAAGGATGGCCACCTTGCTCGCACAAAGCTGAGAGCAGCCTGTTACTGCTGCAACAGCCCGGTCAACATTGGTTTCATCTGTCCATTATGCCCAGCCTTTTAAATGGCAAGATCCAAGGCAGGGACTGTCATTTACAGTAGCCTGGCACAGGGCAAGGCAAGCTCTGCTAAGGCCTTCAGATATCACTGCAGCAGCTCTTTAAGAGCAGCTAAGATGAGAGTCACCAGTCCCCCCCATGTCCCTAAGGACATCCCCCATGGATATCTAATCATGACTGAACTGCCGCGAACTCACTTTGCCTCCAATGATGACTGTTCTGGGCATAAACAGCTTTGTTGGGTCCCTCCTTATGCCTGAAAGAGAAGGAAGTCTAAGTCAGGGACAAGCAACCTTTTTCCCGGCTTTGTCCCACGCTGGGTCAGAGGTGGGTGGGTAGGCACTAGGATCCCCACCACTGGCACTTATCCCCAGGTACAGTGCATGGGTTAAGTGCCCGCAGAAGGGGCCCCCTGCCTCTGAAGCCCCCCGTCCGCAGTCCAGATCTGCCCCTGGGCCATAGGGAGGGCATATCCAGGATTTGGCAAAGGTGGGTGCAGTTGCAGGGGTGGCTGCACTCCCTACTTCCAGCCTTCTCTCTCTGCTTCCCCCTGCACTGGGGCAGGCAAGCACTTGGCTGCTGCTCCTGCCACCCCATCTACATACCAAGGAAGACAAGCATCCCCCACCTGCGCTCAGAGCCACGTCCCCTCCCTATCCCTCGTCTCCCTTCTCCTGCTTGCTTCTGCCAGGTGCTGACCTGGGAGTGAGACAGGCTCCTGCCCACTCCAGCTGGGCTGTGCTCGCTGGGCACTGTGGTAGCAGTGGCCAGGGGCACATTCCCCCTCCCTGTGATGGCTCCTGGGCTGGCAAGAAACACCAGCAGGTGGTTGGGGGGAAGCATGCCTGCCTGCTGCCACAATCTGGGGCTGAGCACACCCCAGTGCAGCCCAGCAGGAATGAGCAAGAGCCCCCCTGGCATCACCCCCCAAGTGGCAGGCTGGGGAGGAGAAGTGCCTTTGAGCATGGAGGGGAAGGGAGGGTGGGAAATGCTAACTTCTTGGAGACTTAAATCCCTGGCTGCTGCTATGGCAGCCTGGCTGGAGGCAGGGGCTGCAGGTGATCTGCCCTGGCCGTACATTGCCGGCCTCTGCTCCAAGTTACCCAGCGTGCTAGTGCCAGGGTCATTAGTGCATCCTCTGGCCAGCCTGGTGTTTGCCAAAGCCACGTGGCGCATGACTCACGGTTGTACATGGTGATGATGTGCAAGCAGTTCATCAGCTGCCGCTTGTACTCATGGATCCTCTTCACATGCACATCGAACATGGAGGACGGGTTGATCTTGACCTTGTACTCCTCCTCCAGGAACTGGGCAAATTTCACTTTGTTCTCCTGGAGGAGGAGTGAGAGGCATTAGTGCTGCGGACCAGGAGGACTCACCTAAGGCAGGGGCGGGTGGGCGCTAGGCCCCAGCAGCAGCAGCACAGCTCCCTGCCTGTCCCTGAAGCCCCAACTATCATGATCATGAACCATGTGATGGGCTTTCTAGTGTGCCCTGAGCTGCCATGTGAACCACAAGGGCCACTCTGCAGAGTGCTGGAGGTGAACACACACACACACACAGAGTTTATTTTGGAAAAAAGAATCATAGATAATGAGGGTGGGAAGGGATCTCAGGACGTCGCATCTAGCCCAACCCCCTGCTCAAAGCAGGACCATTCCCAACTAGATCATCCCAACCAAGGCTTTGTCTAGTCAGATCTTAAAAACCTCCAAGGATGGAGATTGCACCACCTTTCTGGGTAGCCTGTTTCAGTGCTTCACCATCCTCCTAACGAATGATGCCCCTTTATAAATCCATGGTGCATCCACACCTTGAATATAGTCCCTGGTTCTGGTCCCCACTCCTGAAAAAGGATATAGAAGAGCTAGAAAAGGTCAAGGATGGGCAACAAGGATGACAGTGGTATGGAGGGGCTTCCATGTGAGAAGGGACTAGAGAGGCCAGGCCTGTTTGGTTTAGAAAAAGAGATGCTGGAGGAGAGGTACGTGATAAGAGTTTACAAAATACTAAATGGTGAAGATAAGTCAGTAAGAAATTATTAGGTACTCTCTCAATACAAGAACTAGGGGTCACAAAATGAAATGAGCAGGTGGTCAGTCCAAAACAAACAAAAGGACGTTCTCTTTCATATGGTGTCATTAAAATATAGAAGTCGCTACTACTAGGTGTGAAAGCCAACAGCTTAGTTAGATTTAAAAAAGGATTGGACCCATTCTTGAAGGAAAAGGGCATCAGTAGCTATTGAGCATAGGAGTGAGGGACACAACCTCTGAATCAGAGCTTCCTAGATCTGCAATACTGGAGGCTGCAAGGGAGAGGAACAGGGGGAAAAACCCTGACCAGACCCAGTTTGCTCTCCCTGTCAGCATCTGCTCTGCCCCTGTGCAACACATGAGACTAGCCAAGGTGGACCTATGGCCTATAGCCTATGGTCAAATGGCAGTTCTTATGCTCTTATGACTGCAGTCGGCTGAGCCCACAGCATCCCTGAGAGATGGGCCGCCTCACCTGTTTCACTTTGGACACCTCCCGAATGAAGACGTCGTCATTCACGAACTTGTGCAGCTTGGTCAGCTGGCTCAGGTCCTTCACGTAGTCCTCCCCTATTTTCTGTTATGGGAAAAAAAGATAAAAATATCATCCCTGCACTTAGCAAAAGGGCCCTTTACGCCTGCTGCAGATAGTCTGAAGTAGCCTACGTGACTCCTGGTCTTCTAGCTTAGTGGGGACTTGCCATTTTCTCTACAGAGTACCTGTGGCCGAGCCCAGCACAGACCAGCCCCCAGGCTGGCAAAGGGGCAATGACTTCTCAGTTTAAAGAGTTAAAGGCTGAAGATGAAGGACTTAATAGGTTTTCTTCCTGAGACCAGGCTCTGCAGGTCCCCTTGGCTCCAACACGAATGTAGCCAAGAGTCTGGGATTTACAAAAAGAGCAGCCTGGCACAAAGCTCCTTCATGTGGGAGAGAACAAGCCAAGTCCCAGACCCCCGCTCACGTCAGCAGCTGTTTTGGAACAGCTCTGGCATTATTCCTGTTGAGGAAAGCCTGCTGATACACAGCTCTTCCTTGTGCCTTGGGCTTCCTTGTCTGCTGCTTGCGTGGATGCATGCGTGCATGTGCATTACCCAGCAAGACAACAGCAAGGAAAACTCACGGGGTTTCCCATTCCCTGACAAAGCCCTGCCAGCTAAGAGCTGAAAGAGTTTTCAAGCTCAGTCTCCAGGCTCTCTCCTGCAGTTCCATGAGCAATTGCTAAGTGAAGCATGCACCAAACTGTCTGGCTCACGCAGTCTCTGCTGTATAAGGGGCCATGAGCTCTCTCCAAGATCACGAGCCAGGGGTTTGGCATTGCCCTTGGGACTGGAGGCAGGCTGGGCAGTCACCTTTTCAGGAGCAGCGCACATGAGAAGTGACTTCCTTGATAAGTTCTTGCTATGATGCTGGCCTTGAGCCACAGCACACAGAGCTAGGATCACTCCCAATGACTCTTCCCAGCCCTGCTGGGGGAGGGGTGGGGGGACGATGACAGCCCCTGGGGGTTCAGTTTGTGGTACCCTCCATCTCAGGGCAGTTCTCAGAGCTACATGGAAACTGCAAAGCCCCAAGCATCTGAGCAGCCAGCTCTGATGGGAGAGGCTCCACAGCATTCAGCAAGGACCCCATGGTGATCCTCCCCCTCTATGCGACGCTGGTCAGGCCACAGCTGGAGTATTGTGTCCAGTTCTGTGCGCCCCATTTCAAGAGGGATGTGGACAATATGGAGAGGGTCCAGAGGAGGGCCACCCGCATGATCCAGGGACAACAGGGCAGACCCTACAGTGAGAGACTGCGGGACCTGAACCTATTCAGCCTCCACAAGAGAAGGCTAAGGGGGGACCTGGTGACTGTCTATAGACTCACTAGGGGGGACCAGAGGGGTTTGGGGGAGACGCTGTTTCCCCTAGCGCCCGCTGGCATAACAAGGAGTAATGGGCACAAGCTGATGGAGAGGAGGTATAGATTGGACATCCGCAAAAACTACTTCACGGTTAGGGCGGCTAGGAGCTGGAACCAACTTCCAAGGGAAGTGGTGCTGGCCCCTACCCTGGGGGTCTTTAAGAAGAGGCTGGATGCCTACCTGGCTGGACTCGTTTGAGTCCCATTTCTCTTTTTGGGGTTTTTTGTTGTTCTCCCGCCCTGGCGGGGGGTCGGGCTAGAAGATCTACTAGGTCCCTTCCGACCCTTAATCTATGAATCTATGAATCTATGCTAAGGACCCCACTTGAGATTCTTGGTCCTCGAGGCATTTCATCCCCACTCCCACGCCCAGGACACATGCTCCCACAGAAGCCACTGTTACCTCGGCTATCAGCTCCGCTAGCCCAGGGTTGCATAGCAAGAGCCAGCGCCGGGGGGTGATTCCATTGGTCTTGTTCTGAAACTTCCCGGGTTCCAGCTCCGCAAAGTCCTTGAACCTGGGGCAAGGACAAGGTCAGCACCCGACTCTGGGAAGCCTACCAGCCAGGGGATGCTTTCCTGAACTGGCACTCAGTCCCCTGTGAGACCCCCAGTCCCGCAGCATGCAGGTCACCTTGGCTCTGACAGGAATGCCATCAAGAGCCCAGGGTTTGCATAAGGGCAGTTCAGGCCTGTCCTACAGCTCAGCACAAAACTCCCCCACACAGGAGCTAACAAGCAGAATTTCAGACACCCACTCACGGCTGCAGCTTCATTGAAACAGCTACTGTGTTGTTCCAGCTGGAGAAAGCCCAGTGGAAAAAACCACAGAAGTCCTAGAGAAGTGGATCTAGAAGGGACCTGCAGAGGTCATCTAGTCCAACCCGCTGCCTAAGGCAGGGCCATCCCTATCCAAACCATCCAAGACAAATCCATGATCTAAGTTCTTTGTAAAATGACCATCAACCCTGACACAACACAAGACACAACACCTGAACCTGCTGCAGGTAAAGCAGGGGGACCACAGAAGCCAATGCCCTACTTCTATGAAAGGTTGTTAATAGATGCTCAAGAGATCCCAGGTAATGATAACACAGCTCTTGGGCCTCCCTGAATCCCTACAACCCATTAATCAGAGCAGGGATAAGCACAGAGACAGCAGGACCTAATCATTAGAGGGCAGGTATACGGACTTTCTACCCCAGCTTATAGCACATCCCTGGGAAGTTGCTCCCACCTTTCCCTGAGCCAGATCTAACTGCTCCCTGGGCAGCCCAGCTCCACCCCACACTGCAGATGTAGCTTAGTTTAGGGGATTCAAGCCACGTCCAGACTGCAACACTCCTTGTGGCTGGTGGCAGCAGCTTCTCATGCACCACCCTCCCCCACAGTGCTGGGATAAGCTAATTAGCCATCACTCAGCAACATCAATTATCCTATCCCCATGCAGATGGGACAACATGGCTTCCAGGGAGGAGCCGCAGTGCATGCAAAGCTTTGCAGGCTCCAAAAGCACCGCTACCCGGCACGGTGAGCTCACACTCCAGACATGGCTTTGGCATCACACGCTTTGAACCAAGCGGTGAGCCTGCTCCAGTTTGGGACTCAGCCCCCGCCTTTTGGTCTCACACTTACACCTGCGTCCTCACGATGTCCGAGTGGATCTTGGCGACGCCGTTGACAGCGTGGGAGCCCACAATGCAGAGGTGTGCCATGTTGATCCTCTTGACGCTCCCTTCCTCGATCAGGGACATTCTCCTCAGGCGGTCGATGTCATTGGGGAACAGTGTCGAGACCCTCTGTGAGGTGGGGAGACAAGACATACATTAGCTGGGAGCAGCAGGCTGGGCGTCACAATCCGGCGGCCAGCCAGCATCACCACGGCGGGGAACGTGCCTCCATCAGGAAAGTGCCTGGCTCCAGTCAGCATCCAGGTGCATCAGTGCCGTTCAGATCACAGGGGTGTAGGACGGGTGAGCCCAGGGATCAATACTCCACATTGCCACAGGCTTCCTGTTAAGCCTTGGACATGTTGCTTAAGACTGGTTTTACAGAAGTCGGGTGTCTAAATTCTCTCTAAATCCCTGAGGGTAAGTCATTGATACCCCCTGGGGCACCAGAAACACCAGAGCTGCTTGGCCTCAAGTTGAAAGTCCCCAGCAGGGCAAGGACATCACCTCCCCCAGCTCTCCTCCCCACCTCCCTTGTAGTCCCCAGAGATGCCAGGAAAACCCCTGACAGAGGATGCTTCTGCTCCAAGCTGTCCAGTGCAGGGTTTTGACAGTCAGCTGATTACTGGCCTTAGCCTGGACAGCCTCAGGTCTTGAACCTGGGGCTGTCCAGGGCTGGAAAAGTCAGCCGATTGTCAGCCCAGACAGCCCTGGGTGAACTGGCTCTATGTCTGTCTAGGGTCGGGGCTGACAGTCAGCTAATTGTCAGCTTCAGTCTACAGACAGCCTTGGGTCTTGAATGGGACCTGAGACTGTCTGGCTGGGCTGACAAGCAGCTGGTTGTCAGGCCCACATGCAGGCACTTGGCCTTCAGCTGCCCTGTACAGGAGAGTCCTGGACTCCCCCTGCCTTCCTCCCGATTCTTTGATCCCAACAGTGACTGGATGATTTGGATTGGGAAATCAAATCCCATTGCACCATTAAATCAATGTGCTCCAGGGGCCTTAGTCCCTGCCACACCTGTGAAGCAGGGACAGCAGTACAGAGATGGCTTGAGGCCCGCATCTCAGAGCGTGGGAGGGACTCGGGTCCTCCCATAACTAGATCCAGCTCTAGTTTGGAGAGCGCGTGGCCTATGTGCAAAGAAAATGCCGACAAGTAATTCTTCACAGAACTGTGCACACAGCTTTGAACATAACCCCTCACCCCCACAGACTCCAGAACAAGTTAGAGCAGAACGAACAGACTAGCTCTACTGCCAAGGGGTGTACGCTCACCACAGACAAACTGCCTATCCTGCATACCCAGCTTGAGAGATACAGGCAGTGAAACCCACAAGGAGCAGCGATCCCTGAACAGCAGGACTGCGATCCATGTCCCAGAAGAGGCGGCTTTAACAGGACTATCTTAGGAACACCAGCCCTTGGCCACCTGGCAGCACCTAGGCTGAAAGGACACTGCAGGGCTTGGGGAGCCGGGCCGCATCGCAGCTGCTGTTCCTTCACTTCCTCCACCCACTGCCTCCATCCTACTCCAAGCTACTCAGGGGGCATTGCTGCCCAGGGGCTGCCTTTGAAAAGCCATGTCAAGGGCTCTGCAGGACTAAGGTTCCCCAAAGAGGAGCACGAACTGCCTGGCACCTTTCTTCCCACATCTCCTCTATCCCTGCCACCAGGCCTTCATTGCCTCATTCACGAACTAGGCAGAACAGCATTTGGCCTCTAAGTGACACCGTGGGGCATTTATACACATACCGTTTTGTCCCGTGACGTGCCGGAAATCAGGTTGGTTGGAGCAGACTTGGTTAACAGAGTCTGCTCCGCGTGCGAGCTGATGCACACTGTACTGCATCACGTGCAGTTATATAAGCAGTGAAATGTGCCTTGGCGTACAAAAACTGGTGGTGGTGTGCTTTTGAACTATAACACCTTTGAGGTGTTTTAGTTCAAAAAAGTGTGCCGCTGTCATTTTCCATTTTCTCAGTGCTGACATGCATTTCACTGCTTATACAACCGTGTGTGCCACAAAGCACCTGGTGCTGAGGCGCAAGCATGTGTACAAATGTGCCACAGTGTCTAAGTGCAATCCCATCCCAGCCCGACAAGCCATTAGTGCAAGGAGAGGGGAGGGGTCCTTCTCCCCTTGCTGCTTTTTGTGGCCAAGTCCTAGGGCTAAGATGGCAGCAGGCTACAAAAATAGATGCATTAGTGGTTCATCAGGGGCTTGGGCAGGACCTAGCTGCGACATGTTCTCTCTCCACTTTGGCTCTGAGGGAGGCTGATGGCTCCAGCCCGAATGCAAGGGCAGATCACTAATGCACACTTGGCAGCACAAAGGCATCACAGGGTCCCTTGGGTCCACGAGGTTTGCATCCTTGCGTCCCCGGCTAGGAGCCTCCCACTCCAAGAGGAGAGGAGCTGTGCACATCTCAGGAGGTCTAGTTAAGAACTGGAAAAATCAGATTCATTTTAAGCTGCAGCTATTCCAAATATGAGCATGAGGGACTCGCTACCAATCTGCAGCTTCTGTACTTATGCTACAAGGTCCCTTCCTTCTCCCCAGCCTCTGTAATCAAAATGTTACCAGCCCCTCACCCTCAAAACCATTTCCACCCTAGGGAGAAGCCAGCACATCGCAGCACCCAGGACCAGGCTGGGCACAGAAGGATGCTGACACCCCCTCTCCCCCTGAAAGGGGCAGGCTCACCATTGGTGCCACACACCACTTACATCCAAGTGTCGCTGGTTGATTTCGTAAATGATCTGCAGGTGCCTTGGCAGGAGCTTCTCCATCAGGTCGACCGGCCAGCGCTCCAGTGCCTCGGGCAGCACTGTGTGGTTGGTGTAGGCGAACGTCTTCTTCGTGATCTCCCAGGCCTGGTGGGCAACAGGCAGGCGGTTAACAGGCAGGGGATGGCACAACCGCAGGAGAACACATGCGATGCTCAAGGCAGAGAGGGCCTTGTCCCTACTGCAGGTGCACATGTCAAGGGCAGCCCTGTCATATGGGGGTACCAGTCACTGAGTCTGTATCCGAGTTCACCCACAGTCAGGAGGGACCCCGTCTCCTGTGTTGGCTTGGGCTACATAACCTGGGAACTCTCTGCGGCAGACACTGCCTCTCGCTATGTGAACATGCAGCACCTAGCATAGCAGAGGCCCTGACACCACTGTATTACAAACAATGCTTCAATCTGTGCTTATGCCAATCCTTTCCCTTCCACAGCCTATACTGAAATAAGCATTTCAGGCAAACTATAAAAAGGAAAAACCATGGGCCAGTTAGTTTTCTGCAAGACAACAATACAGCAGAGAGACTAGGGTTTTGCATATCCTTAAAGACAACTCTTGTTTCTTTGGGGCAGAAGATGTAACAACAGTTTGTATTTAAATAAACAGGCTCCCACATGGCCCAATACAGAATGATGAAATTTAGGTCACCAGTGAAAGCTTCATGGGACTCCAACCCATCAGGGTTCAAGACTGATCTTGTCCAAAAGATCACAACAGTCCTGAGGCTGTTAGTTATTGTTTCCACAAATCCTAGTGTGGTTCCCATGCTGAAGATACAAATTATTCATGAAGCAGGTGATACACAGCTGCTATTTCTTATCCCAGGAGAAGCATGGTGTACCCTATTTGCTTTTATGCAGGCTTTTTGGACAATAAATGGCCTGGCAACACAGGGGCATAGATTTGGTGGCCAGGGAGACCCTTTCCAGCCCAATATTCCTAGCTTTTAAGACAACAGACTTAGGTTTGTTCAGAAAATGTTCACAGGCTAGCAGGTAGCTTGGAAGTGCAACAAGAGATGGACTAACTTTTCAGGAGCTCACATGCAAATGTATGCACAACATGTTGCACCAGTGTGTTAAATGTAAACTTGTGGCAGGCAAACCAATGCAAGGATTTGCGCAGTGCCTACAGCTGCGACCCAGGTGAAGGCAGCACATTTAGTGTTGACACAGCAAGCTCCCTGAAGCCTTGTGAAGCCAATTGGCCTTTTCAGTAATAACTCAACAAAATTACAGGGGCACACTAAGCGTTTTAGCAATAGTCTCTCGTATGCCATTAGAAAAATACGCCGAGGCAGACGCATGCTGTTTAGCAAGACTAGTTCTGCAATACTTTCTAGTCTCCATCACAATGAAAATGCACAGGCTGTTTTCCAAACCTTGCTCCATGGCAGCTTTTCGATGTCCACAAAAATCCTCATCAGCTCAGGAATAGCCATGGCAGGATGAGTGTCATTCAGCTGTATTGCTACCTATACAAATGACACACATGGTTTAAATAATTACACCTAGGTCTTCTCACCTCTAAAACTACCTCATTGTGGGCAGAGTGCTCATCCCAGCAGCTTCCCAAGGATGTTCTCCCCATGGAGGCTGGAGAGTTTGGAAAGCATTTCCATTAGGAAAAACAGATCATTTCCCAATAGGGCTATTTGGTTTTTAAAACCGAGCATTTCTGAAGCTGTAACAAAGACAGCTTTGCATCTGGGATGCTAACAGGCTTCATTCACCCACGATTGTTACCTGATCCGGGAAAGAGTCGAACACAGTCCGGACGCTGTCGGTGCTTCCGAATTTGGACGCTTTGTAACGTCGGATGATATCCTGGAGGGTGGCAGCCACAACAAAGTACTCCTGCTTGAGCCGCAGCTCTTTGCCTTCGAAAAACTGCCGAAGAGACAGAAATGAGATTGGCAGATAGCTTGGGCTGACCTGGTTTTAGCCCAACAGCATTTTCAGTACCATCCATGCTATGTGTTGCAGCCAAAGGGGCTGGCTTTAGAAAGGCTTCTTGCTGGCTTGGTGCAAAATGATTTGAAAGCTGATTGCTTTCTTTCTGCTGCCGTCTTGGCAACTTCAGCACTGAGCATTGCATTAATGCGCATGAATCCCAGTGAATGTGACAAGATTCAAAGGGAGCTGCCCAGGTGTGTGTCATTGCCTGAAGCAGGAGAAATACCAGCGCTGGCAAAGGAAGGGGGGGAGGACAGAGGAGAAAAGAAGAAAGTTTGCTTAATTTATTTCCTTCCCTCCCACCATTTTTTTTTATATCACAGGGAATTGTTGAACAACTGAATTCAGCCCAAGAATAGAGGCACTAAGAAACTCTGCACATCTGGCGACAGGAGCCAGGCAGCCAATACATCTGGCTAGGATTAAGCATCAAAGTCTGTCCCAATGGGAGGAAGTTCTCTGCTTTTTTGGAGGCAGTTTTGAGTGCTAGGATCAGGCACACATGAAACAAGGAATCTCTTCAGCCAACGTTTTCAAACTTCAGGTGCCTCATGTCAGACTCTTAACTAGAGCTGACCTAATGGTTCTGGGGGCAACAGACCCACATCCCCCAGGGAAGATGGGGGGACTGTATGTGCTTTGAGGTTTAGGTCATTCCTAGATACAGGCTTATTCAAATCTATTTGTATTACACTATATATAGAGAGAGAGTACTTGCTCTAGACTCCAAAAATCCTCAAGGAAATAAAATGGATGCCACCCCACCTTGGCAGCACAAGAGGTTTACTAAGCTCCATGGTTTTCTTGTTTTTTAAGCTTTTCAAGGTGGCAATTTAAGAAGGGCCAATGCAAACAAATATTTAGTCCTCACCCTCCCCCATTAAAAAAAATCCCCAGCTCAACCACCTAATCAATTCAATTGACCCCTAACTTCAGGTACCCTTGTTTGAAAGTGCTGGCCATCAGGGATGGTTGCAAAAAAGATGACTCAATTATAAAGCCTATATCACTCCCTAACAATTGCCTCTACAACAATCACCACCCATTCTTCCTATAGCTCAAAACATTCATGCACACTCATCTAAGCTCACAACTACAGACCGGACAAAAAGCTCTCTTCACCCTTTGGCCAGGCTGTGGTGGGATTAAACAGAAATAAAGGTCAAAGCCAGAGAACAACAGGCTGGAAAACCAGCTTTGTTATTAGCCGGCTTCTTTCACATTTTCAGCTCCCACTTCATGATTTTTCCCAGACCAAAGGACTGGCTCCGGTGTGCAGGAAGAATCTATTTTTATTCCTGTGCAAATCACGTTTTAGGGTATAGACAGATGTCACGGTTTTACCAATATCCAATGATGCTGGTGTATGCTCTAGCTAGGATATCCATGTGCTCCTAGATGGGCACGTGTGTAGCAAAACCCCAAATGAAACAGGGTTAGAAGTCAGTGATTTAGCTCACTTCCAAGGCTTCTAGGAGCATGCGGACCTAACAATCAACGAGTGCTCCCAAGAGGTTTGCCCTCACCATTTAAGTGGGACTGTTCCTGGTTTTGGATATGTGCTAATCTGCCAGCACAGCTACAAAGCAAACATTGCAGTAATATTATGGATGTGACAGACCGTGATCTCCGAGTGCCGTTCTCCAATTCTGGGCTGAAGCCGACAGCAGGGAAACAAACTCTCGCAATGTTTTGACCTTGTGGAATTCAGCCCGACTCATTTTGGATTTAAGAATAATTCCTTAAATAGGACTTGTTTTCTCCTAACAGGCCCTGCCTGGCCAACCAAAGGACAGAAGTCAGGGCTTAGAGACAAATATTTTACAATACACAACTTTTTTTTTTTG